AAGCAAGGTAATGTTACATGAATTATTTAGGAGGAAAGAAAGTAGGAACAGGAAAAAAAATAAACTTGAAGAGAAAATCTGTACTTCATGAAGTAGAAGAATTAAAAAACAAAAAATCAGAATTCAGAAAAACATAGAGGAACTTTACAAAAAATGCTGATGCATATGCTGATAAAGCAGAGGCTGTGGGTAACTTGACCTTTGTAATGAAGTCAAACAGATTGAGGAGAACAGCCAATGACAAAAAGAACATTTACAGTGTCTAAATGATGACATTTAGTCTAAGTTACAGTTGCCCAAAAACTAAAGTTTAAAGACACCAAAGCAGTTTATTGAACAGAATCATTCAAATAAAAACATTTTAAAACATTCTATTTACATAAAATGCTCCTATTTGCATGTTATACTATGTAAGAATTAATGCACTTAATGGATTCTGCAAGTAAAGTCATTTTTTGTTTATAATTATTCACTTAGTTATTCCTGGAAATTTACTGATTCAGTCCTGGAAAACTCCTGGAATTTTTTCAACTTGTGTCTGTATGGACCCTGTGCTATCTCTAGAACCTTAGTCGTCAGTGTCATCAGAACTAAAGTTGCAATATATATGCATATTTGATGTCACGCTTGCTGAGATTTTTAGCATTCATGATGATATATTTATTGTCCTTACATTATGAGCACATATACATACCACATTGCTTTTCATATATGATATGTCTTTTGTTCCAGTACATATGCCATGCAAATACTGTGTTGGTACGTGCATGTGCTCGATGTTAAAGTTGAGTTTGTTTGTATGTATATGCTTATAATATGCACCTTATATTGGCAACCATTTTGCACAAACCTTGACACTGTGTATAAAAGACTCGTAAAGTTTTCTGAAAGCTTGTCAAATCTTGTAAAGATACACAAAACATATTAAAAGTTATGTTATGGAATCTTATCCTACTTTACCTTTACTCAGATGTAGTTAATTAAAAGGCTACGTAGGGACACTCTTACTTTTTTTTGTTTCTTCTTTGATTGAAAGTAGTATATACATGCTTTCATGTTTGCACATTCTGTGTAACTCACACTTCAGTTTTTATAATCATTTTTTGGCTTTCCTCATGGCTGGCTAGAACAGTTTAAATATTTGTGAGCTTAGCCACATCCAGATGTTTGGCTTGATCCCACATTGGCTCACCCACCTTTAATCTAAGGGTGTTTGAACATTTCTTGTGTTTGTATTCAAAGCTTGTAAGTATATATAAGCATAACACAGAATTAATGTTTGAAATTCATTAGAGTAATATTTGTCTATTTCAGTATCATTCTGAAATTACCAGAGGTATCATGGATCATGCCTACACAACAGTCAGATCTCACCAGCAACCATGACTATCTCATAATTCGATTCTTTCGCTCTCTCTCAGACCAATTTAATAAGGTTGAGACTCTTCAGGAGAAATTTTTGTTAAGACAGAAGATAAATTATCTTCTGTCAGATTTTATAGCATCTTTGAATTCTGTACCTAAAGTTAGTGGATCTCAAGAAGCAGTTTCCCATATTTACAGCTTAGCAGGACATTTATTTTGCTACTGTGCACCCATATTGTATGTCAAAGTAAGTAATTTATCCTCTCATCTTTTAAGAAGTTTAGAACCTAGTTTCTTCCTATAAGTGTAATTTTTGTATCTACAATCTCAGAATTTGTGAATTTGTTGTATCTACATAAAGTATTAAGTTGATATCATACTCCAAACAGCATTCAACACTGAAACGAAGCATTGTTATTGTGCAAAATAAAATGAAAACTATGTACTTTATATTGCATTAATTATATAATATGAATTTGGGGATATACAAGCCCTAAAATGTGAGCATTTGAATAAAATTAGACAAGTCATTTCAGAATATTATTTTTAATAATATTTTTCCTTCAGTACATTTTTAGTAGAAAACTTAGTGCCTTCTATGTCTGTTTGATGTACAAGTCTTTGGTACAGTATAACAATTTTTGTAACCCAACTTTCATTAAATTTTTATTTGTATAAAGACTTATACAAATGGCCACTAATGTATGTATTGCTTGTGGTAAGCTATCTAAATTTAGCACAGTCTCAGTATTAGATCGATATATGCATAAATACATATCTAGAACTTGTGTACATAAATGCATAGGAGTTGTAGTCTGTAATAATTGTCAGGTTTAAATTATTTGAATTTCTGGAGTTGCATTAGTTGTCATTTGAAGATACAGTTTGACTCTCCAACCTATTATGCATGTTTAAAAACTCATAATAAAATATATATAGATATATCATTTTATTTAGTTCTCACTTCAACTTGTTAAATTATTTTATTTTCTGAATTCTACCTAATTTTAATTTTTAGTCAAAACCAGACTGTTTGCTTCCAGTTGTGATTGACACACTCATCTTGCCTCGTGTTTTGTACTCTAAGGGTACAACATTGCCATCAACAATCATGGCTGCTGTGAAGGAAAATCTACCTTTGGTAAACTATATTATATGTAATTGTACATTCTGTAAAATATGTAATTATTTAAATCTCTAACATAATTGTAAATTGTACCTCAACTGTGTTTTCCACTTGAAAGTTTTTTTTTCTTGATATTAACTGCATTTCGACATAAACAGGTCATGAACTAGGAGAATTACTGGAATTATGTCTGTTATAGTTGCATTCAACATTAGCAGAAATATAAGTGAAAAAATACTTATTGATTTTATATTATATTAACATTATTATCATATATTATTATGTATTTCTTCTTGCATGAATGTGTTCTCTTGTGTGCTTGAAAAGAAATAATGAAATATCAGTGACAAAAAGAAAACCAACTTTTAATTAACCCTCTTCATTGTTCTTATTCCTATAGTAATTTTGTTGTTATGAATATCACATTTTAGTTTACCAGGCTTCCACTCTATCATATTTGATCACTTTAAACCATTTTTACTTAAGTTTTCATAGAGAAAGATTTTATAGCTAATTTAAAGTACTTTTATATTTTAAAAAGAGAAAATATTGTATTATTTCTTGAAGAAATTGTTCACCCACCATAAAAATTAATACCTGCTCATAATGCATTCCAAGTCTATTTGGGTCAATCATAACTCCAGAAGTACATTTTTAAAGTTAACATTTGCTTTTAATTCAGGGACAGATGATTGAACAATGCATTACATTTATATTTTATTCCAAAAATTTAGATTTATATCTGGGCAGGTAATTTAATATTCCAGTAACAAATGTTTTGTAGTTACCTTAACCCTATCTGGACTACAAAGCATTTATTAGGTGTCTCATGCACACCTACATGTCAGATATAAAAATGTAACTAAAAATAATACTTCTAATTCTGTTTCAACAATTTTTAACTCAAAAATATTTTGTTACATAGTATCATTTATTTAGTGTAATTCCCAAATAAAATGTTCCAAATTTCATTTCTGCACAGATCTGAGAAAAAAATCTTACCTCTAAATAGTGCACTTATTGATTTTTCTTAGAATTTTTTTGCCCATCTCAAAACAGAGGCTTACATTTACTAATAAACTATCATCCCTTGAGAATACAAGGAATTTATTGTTTCATGGGATAGTGACTAGATGATACTTCTCCAGGAATGAGCAAAGAAATCTAATGAGAAATTTATAAAACCTAGTAATGAACCTCAGATCTCAAAATATTTTTGTAGTTTCTTTAGATGTTCATTTCATTTCAAAAAATGTTTTGTGTTAGGATACATTCTCCTATGGCAAAACATCAGATAAGCTTAGGTAGTTTTATAGAGTATGGTAGGCAGTGACAAAACATTCCAATGACTTATTTATTGAATATTAATGTGTACTTTTTGCTGTTTTTTATGACATGTATATACAGAAGTAGTAAGTACAGCAAGTCTTTAATCATTTATTAAATCAACTGCTTTAAACCATATTAATATTTTATATTACTTAATTAGCACTTAAGCACTTTGCCATCATTCAGTGTATGGCTTTGTTTACTACAACATCTCCCAATGTCTTCATTAAATGATATACCTGACCTTTGGCCATTTGTATAAATCTAAGTAATCTTATTCATACTGAAGTTCACTTTCTTTGATCTTTTACCCTTTTTTTTATTCACCTTTTCCTCTTTTAATTGTAAGAAAGAAATAAGGTGCTTAGAAAATTTTAACATATTAAATTTAAACAGGCTGTCCAAGCTACAAACTAATAAACAGCTGTTAGATATGTGTCTGTATTGGTTACAGTTTGGGTTGGGTAAATGACTAATCGAATAATGATGAAATATTATTTAATAAATAAAAGTGTGAGTGAATAACAAAAGCTGTACTTATATTTTTATATACACTATAAGATATTCAAGTCCATCTGCAAGGTTATTCTTAATCAGTTATTCAGAATTTCAAAACAAGTATCTCTTATTATTTAAAACTTTTATGTAAAAAACTTTGTGTCTGTATGTTATCTGTAGATGTTCTTAATCTTTTCAAATAGGATCCTTTACTGTGTTGCACCCAGATTAGTGAATCTCTAAGGAAACAAATTTAGAAAATTATTTTGTTGCCATTCTTCACATTTTTTAAAAATACTTCCAAGTTGAAATTTATTCTGTTAAAAAGGTTTTATTGATTAAATTTTATATACAAAATTTTTTTCCGAATTACAACTTTTAACTGCAGGTTGTGAATTTTCTGAATTTTTTCTGAACATAATATAGCCCTTATAACCCTTTAAGAGGAAAGTCTAAATATTTTTTAATAAAAATGGTAATTTGAACCATGTAACTTCAACACTTCAATTTTAACCAATAATTATGTGATCTAATTGCTGATATCTCAGCCTTTAGAACTCATAGGCTAGTGATATAAACACTGTTATTTTCAAATGTATAAGCCATTGTGGCTTCTGTTTCAGTGTAAACTTTTGTTTACAAAAGTGATACAAACTTAGCTTGGTGATAGGTAACTAGAAGAAAATATGGTTATGAACATCTTTCACCACAATTATAGTCATTTGTTTTTAAACCTTGCAAAAAGCTTGTTTTATCATTCTATACTTCATCTGAATTATGTTGTAGTGTGATACAAAAGTATGTATTTGTTCATGAAATAAGAAGACTTAAACAGTTTCACAATTTTGCAATCAATTGTATCAAGTTTTGTTTCATGATTAAGGCCTGTGTACATTAAACTGTGTTTATGTTAGAACTTAGAGAGAAATGTAAGAAAAAATATATAAATGAATATAAAATGAGTTTAAAACTTATTTCCTATATTAAAAGAAACCTTATGATCAACAATAAAAAAATCAGCTTGCTGATAATTTTAGTATAGTGAACCTAAGGTTATTTTTATTGTATATCAGTGATTATAACATATTAAATTGCAATTGGTATGTTTTAAATTAAAAATATCAAATTGACAGTTTTATAAAGTAAAGAATTTGTAGGAAAGTTCAGAAGTATATAGCAAGACATGAATCAGTAATTGACATCTTTCAAAAAAGTAAGCATTTTAAATTGTTTCTGTAATAAAAAAATTCATACAAATATCACATATGAAAATAAGATTTTAGTTACAGAAGTTGTGTAACCTGTGAAAAGTTCATCCCAATTTTCAACTTATTTCATCCAGTAGTTTTTATTTGGCAACACAATAAACAAATCATATAACAGATGTATTGCATTGATGCACATGTCATTATCTATTTGAGTATAGTTAACTTTGCAACTGTTGGTATCGGCAGTGTATAGTGATTTATCTCAAATGGATCAGTTCCTTTCACCGTTCATTGTGGTACAAGGGGGAGACAGAAGAATGTTAGGTACAGTAGCTAAAATACAAAAAACGTTTTTCCACTGTGTTAATATAATGAGACTCTTAGATTTCTCAGTGGGATCTTGTTTGGTGGTCATTATAATCCTTGAAAATCGTGATGGCTACAGCAAGGTGAGATTTTGAATAAAGTTTCTTATCACTCAGATCCTTCCCTTGGTTATTTGTATTGACTGTGTATATTGCATTTTGTATTGTGGCAATAACATGATTATGTTATTCTTGGATGGTGCTTTTCCTTTGTTTTTACATAGCTTTGGTAAATATAACATTTGCTTTTTAGTTGTGCGGTGAGTAATTTGTATTTAAAATCAGACAACATAGATGTTTCTGCCACTAACATTTAACCCTGTCACTACCGGTTACTAATCTTTTTAGTAGTTAACATCACTTTTGTCATATTTCTTTCCAAAAATAAAACTAATGGATGAAATTGTTTAAAACTAGACAAAAACGTTCATAAAAGTATGTAGTTTCAGTAAAATAAAACATTCAAATTTGATTTTTTTATTCTATTTCTAATAAAAAAATTCGTTATTTATATTTTATTTTCCATTTTCTCTACTACATCACGAACTCTGTCTATTATCATCAACACACAGAGCAATGAAATGTTTAAAATTAACAAATGGAAATATGTGCATACCTTTCAACTCATAGAAATCCAATAGAATAGTTGTATTTTTCTTATATACGTATTTTCACGTCTTTATCTTTTCATTTATAGTTTATTTTTTAATTTTCCTTTCAAATTCTTTATTTATCATCATTTATGCCCATACATCAACTAATAGCCATAGGGCTTTATTAAGGTATTTCAGCAGACTCTCAGGTGACAAGATAAACTTATAAAAACCATTAAACCATTCAAATATGATTTTTAAAACACATGTAATTCATAATTAACTATAACATATTTAGGTAAGAAACCACCATAAGTGCTATAGTCAATCATGCAGACAACAATACAAACAGTAGTTATATGTACACCGTGAATAAACTGCATGCCAATTTCAAATTAACCATTGTTAGAGTACAGTGTAAACTGAGCTCTTTCTAACAACTATATACACTTGTGTAAGCTAACTATATGTACATTGTAGATCTCAAGGCAAAGTATAGAAGGTGGGTGTGGCAACTGTCAAGGGTTGAAAAATTTATTTCTCTTTCTCAGTGAATACAGTTGTGGGACTCTGGATATCACATAACTAGCATCTACATACTCATGGACATTGTCAGTTTATGTTGCTATGAGTGAACTGCTGCTTAACTCGAGATTTTTCAAAGCACATGGATCATGTGACATGAAAACTGCAGTTTAAGTATTTTTTGAAAGGTTTTCTTTAAAACAAAATAATTAAAACTTAGGTAATATAGAGATTCAAATCATAACACACATTATAATGTTAATTTCATTGATATGTATTGATAGTAAAGTGGTTTAATTAAATTTTGAATGTATGGCAATACCATACATAAAAAAAAAATGGCACCAGGGTTAATTGATTGTGTCATAGGCAGAAGAATCTAGATGAGTAGTGAGTTTCACAATTTCATGTTCACTGAAAATATCAGTAAAGATCTCTCAAGTTTTAACATCTAGAGTAAGTAGCACTTCAAAATTTTGTTGTTGTTTCTTTCTCATTAAGAATTAAACAATATTCTTGTCCTTGAAAACAGATGTAGTGAAAATGTTTTCATAGTCTTTATATGACCTAGAAATCAGTACACTGTAACATTAGCACACCCATAAAACTGAATACTCAATCATAAATATTTCATAATTGCATTTAAAATGACTGTTCCAACAGAAAATATTTTTGATGACCTCAGCTGAGTATTAATACTTAAAACTTGATCTGCAATATAACTTGCAGTATGTTAATTTTTTTGGTTCTTGTGAATGAATAAAAGACTGATTGTAGGGTAGTTACCATAAAATTGATTACTTCTTTGTTGCAATACTTTATCCATTGGAAACCATAGACATTTGAGGGCCTTTTATGATTAGATATTGATTTTTTTGATAGACATCTGTACTCACAAGAATGTTTTCTGCTAGAGGTTGTAAAAGAAATATTGTACACAGGAGTTGTGAACAATATGAAAAAAAATTTTGTTTGCATAAATAGCACAAGCAACCAGGCTTTTGCCCTGTTGAGACAACTGGACTTACATGTCTATAACTGCAGAATATAGGGATGGCCAGAGGCAAAGTGAATGGATATACAGTTTGTTTTAATGCGTTGTGAATAATCCTTTCTCTATAAAGTAGAATGATACAGTTGATTTACTGGTTAGAAAACCATTTTATGTATTTAGTTGTAATAATTTTATAAATTTATGGCATGCTGTTTCTGATGTTTTAGATTTATCTGTATAACTGACTGATATTTGAAACTTCAAACAAAAATGTACTGTTATAGTTCTTAATTGTGATATGGAGTTCTTTTTTCCTTTCAAGTTTATTCATGGGTTATATCAGTTAGGAATTTCTTCAGACCCTTATATACAACGAAAACTACGAGAGCTTGTCATCCAGTACCTGCCAAAATTTTCATTGGTATGTTTATTAACATTAGAATGCATATAGTTAATTATTTGTTAGGATCTAGCAGTTAATGTATAATTATTTGTAACTAAGAACATGTTTATTTTGTGTTATAAAATAAGAAACTGTAAAAAATTCAGTGTGTGATTTTTAAATGGCCCTGAATCAAATACTATAATAGAAAATTTATTTATTTTATGAAAGTGTGAAATGGTTATTAAAGTCAATAAGAAAACCTCATATTCATCCCATTACATGCTACTAACATATAGTCTGATTATTCATAAATCTGTCAAATAAGATATATATAAAATGGTTATTTTTGGATGGGTTTTACTATTTTTCCTTTGGCCAAATGATTCTATTGCATCCTAGTTTGTGTTACAAAACTGAAATACAAGGAATTGAATATTGTTTTAGCGTATTCTTAAGAAGACCTGTTAAGAACTTTGGGAATAAAGTTTAGAGAAAAAAAAGATCATTACTCTTCAGATAATAATAAAAACACTATTTCAGCCAATGTTCTGCTATTGGAACTTCATCAGCACCAACAGTACAAGAACTGTTTGATGTGAAAATGTGTCCAGATATGTTTTTGAGGGTCTGTATTTAACCTTGTATCAATGCATTTATTGCAAGGCTGTTGAAATTTTAGTAAAATTCCATGATTTTTTCAGAAATATATTTATTTGAACAAGATATATCATGTACTTTCTACTGGCTATGGTATTAACACAGACACTAATTTGAAGTTTTTTTTGTCTTAATATAAAAATTTTATTTTTGTGTGTGTGTTCCTGAAGCCCTTTTCAATTTATCAAAGAATGAGAAAGATCATTATACTTGTCATAAGACATTGTTATTAAGTCTATAATATTTTAAACATTATATTCTTTATCTAGTCCATTAGGGATTTTCAAGAATTAGAAGAGTGTATTCTTGAAAATCCCTAATAGACTAGATAAAGAACATAATGTTTAAAAATATAATAGACCTAATACTTAGGTGTTACAACAACTGCAACTGTAATAATACTTTGCCATTTTGTAAAAGACATATACACCATAATAAGTGAAGATATTAATATATCTATAGAAGTCATAAAGTTTAGAATTGAAATTTAACATATATATATATATATTCGGGAATTTAAATAGAATACTTTTCTCTCTTCTATAGCTTGATTGCACTAAGTATTTAAACATATCTTAAAGTTATAGACCTATATGAAGCAATTTTTTACTTCTGGTATATTTTTGTGTGTAAAATGCTTTGAGTTAGATAATTTTGACTATTTATTACCTTTTTTAAGTGTTGGTTAAATATGTCATTACTGTTTCAGTGATAAAATCATCATAAAATAATAAAACTGTATGTTGCTCTCTTTCAATTAAACACGCATATCTCAATCCATTTTTGAAGTATGAATGTCTTGGAAAGAATGTTCTTCCTCAGTAAGACTAAACTTGCCTTCAGATATCCTGGTGAAAAAAGTTTACTAAAGGGTAATGTATGGTATTATTAAGATTAGCATTTATTTAGTAATCATACAAAAAACATACTTATTTGTCTAAAATTCCAAATCTCTCACAGAAAACTTCAGCAACATTTTCAGTGACTCGTCATCCCCTTCTGGTGAGTTCTGTTCCTACTTACAAAATATTACTTGCATTTTTTAAAATTATTTTCATAATTCAATTAGATAAAGGTTTTAATGAGAGAGAGAAAACTACTGTTTGGAATTTTTTTAAAAAGCTTGTTAGTCTGAATAGTTGTTTCATAGGAGTTTACTTTGCAGTTAACTTATCAAACTAAATGTTTGTTTAATATTATTGAAACATTTTTATCTGGATGATATAACTGATTAAAAAGTGTTATAGAAGACGTCCACCTATTGAGTATACTCCTATTGTGCATTCATAACTAACAGTAATTGTTACTTGCTCTGCCAAACATGGAAATGGCTTTATGTATAATATTTTACATATGTCTTAAAGATATATAATAAGGTTTTAAATCATGTTTTAAAAAGAAAACTTGTTCAATAATTACTTTATGTCAAAGCTGTCACATGACTGATATTCAAGATGGGTGTAAGACTATATTGTCTCATTGCTAACTTGATCTCATCAGATGGGTTATAAAGGGTTGTCTCTTCTATTAGTTTTTCACATATTAATCAAAGGTTAATTCAAGTCACTGTCCTTTATCATTAGGAAGCAATGTACATTTTTATTGTACTTGAGCACTGATGGCATTGTGTCTTCAATCATTTCACTGAAACTCACATTCTTCTACAAACATTCTCAGCTTGGTTAATATATATATTATAACTGAACCTCAGTAATAATTGTTGCAACATACATTTACACTAACATCATAATTTTGTTAGCATCCTCATTGTCATTTGAAGTGACCGGTGATAATTACACTTTCATCATGACATCATAAATGTAATATGATATTTCTTGCCAATAAATATTTAAAAACTTGATTTATATATATATATAATTGGAATAACCTATGTAAAATTACTTCTTAGCATTCAATATCTCAAATTAATGATCAAATGATAATCAGCTCTAAAACAAGTTTTCACTATTCAATAAAAAACATTGAAACATTAGAACATTCAATTAGCCCTCTTGCTACAAACAGGTCAAAGAGTACATGTGATGATGTTTTAGAGTTGTTTCAAAATTTAATTAAAGCACTTTATTATCAATGTATGTCAATAAAATTGGCATCAAAACGTAGATTATAATCCAAATTTTAATATACATGTTTTAATTTCTTAACTTGAAAGTATTTTTAAAAAAAATGCTAAATATCCTTTTTTTTGTGTGTGTCATATAGCACATCCTCTTGTCTTAATGCTCAGTTTATATTTTATTACACCTACCATACAACATCTATAGTGGTTAAGGAATTAGAAACTCGAGTTTCAGACATTGACAAAAAAGAATATAAAATAAGAACCTCCCTCCTTTTTGATTTGCTGAGATATCAATATATTTAGTAAACTTACCATGGTAGCCCTTCCCACTACTCCATTCTTTTGAAATCTTTTGTTTACTCATGCCTACTTCTCTTAAGTATATATATTTATAACCAATAGATGAGAATATTTCAAACTACATCAATCTGACAGGCATTTGTAATTGGCTTGAAGGGGAAACTTGGAATTTGACAGATGTTGAAGTCTCTTGAGTAAGTCATTGCTCTGAAAAGAAATGAAATTTTTTTAACCCACATACAGCTTAGTTAGAAAGCCAGGTAAATTACAGTGGCTTTATACATAATAGTATAGTAATTTGATAAGTTGTTGGTTTTCTAGAGTGCATCTTTGAAATGTACAAAAATTAATTTATCTCCTCCACTTGAGAGAATAAACAAGGCTTACGGAAAGGAATAGTAAGTAAGTACAACACGTGTACAAATCAATTTCAAAACATCTTAAGTACTATAAATTCGAAATCATTATTTTTATATATATATTTTATTTATTGTTCAAGAAAAATAACAAAAAGTTAAGCATTTATGAGTAAATAGTCATTTCCCCGAAAGGGGCCGAAAGTTGCCTGGAGGGGTCACCTGTTTTAACCGCTCGCTCCACGATACAATAGTGTGCTGTCTGTCAGTCAGTCAGTAGACACTAAAATGCATGAGGGGTGTTTAATGTTACTATTTGTACTGTTATGATGCCAGTAAAATGTGTGCATGCCATAGATCATGAGAAGAATTATGCATTTTATAGGTGACAACACAACATGACATATGAATTTAAAAAGCAAGAAATTTAAATATTTGTTACTCTTAAGTTTTGGTTTTATTTAATCTTGAAACAGAACACTTTCGGGTATCTTGCAGAAGTACCTCTGTTAATATGTATAAATGTTCATAACCATATATACACTTTGTACATCTATGCCACTAAATTCCAACCACCACGACAGGATAACTAACATTCAGATACTTACCAAGTTTAGTGGATTGGCCCAAACTTTGCCCAGAACAATATCTTAAACATTTTCTTGCACTTTTATTACCTTAGGCAATTCTCATTGCAACCACTGTATTATAAGCAAACCAGCAAATCTTCTCCCACTATGTTCTTAAAGCCAGAATTACAATAAACTCTGTGGGAAACTTCTGGTAATTGTTAGGGTAGAGAAAAATCATTTTGCACTTACAGCAGTCAACACTCTGACTCCGTATAATCTGATAATTGTGTTTTTCTTCTTCATAATGAATTACTGATCTTCTTCTGTGTATCCATTTCATATGTTTAATCATTTGTTTTAAGCTTAAGTATTTATAATGGAACCTCTTAAACTTGGTAGCAAAAAGTTAGCCAAGAAGTCTTCGTTTTTTTTTTTTCTTAATTATGGACATACTCATATAATTGTTGATTCTTATTCTCTTCACCTCTGGATGAAGATATTTTGTCATTAACTAAGCCTCAAATTTTATCTAACAATTTTTATTAATGTATTTACTTTTATTAATTGATTTTCCTCATCATGTCTGTTCCTTCAGCAGTGTGTGCCAAACCAAGTACTAGTTGCATTTGTTTCTCAACTTTATAATATTTATCTGAAGCATCTCATATTGTCCATATAACAGAAATATAGGACTTTATCTAGGGTTGAATGGATTGACTCCTTAGCTGTGCTCCTATAAACAAGTCATGATAATGTGGATTTCATGTGGGTAGTAGAAATCCTGGAAAGTTATGAAATTTTAGTGAAAATCTTTGAAAACAGTTTTGATGATTGTTTATCAGTCTAAATAAATGATAAGTCAGAGAAAGTTCATTTTCAGCATTAATTTATAAACCTGTGTTTGCTCACATTCTGGTAGTATTTAAACCATTGCTTATATTTTGCACACAGAATATTAGAGCAGTATCCTGCTGACCTTAATGGTGATGATTTTGGAAAAGAAATGCAACATCTACCCTCAGTACATAAAGCAAATTTTGGAAATGCACAGTTAAAGCCATTAGATTTGCTGAACATGTTAACAGAGTACAGACTTGGTGAACTGTTTCCAAATGTTTGTGTTAACTTAAGAATACTATTAACAATTCCAGCAACAGAGGCTTCTGCAGAGAGGTCATTTAGCAAACTCGACTGATTAAGATTTATTTAAGGTCTACAATGTCTCAGGAACGTCTTGTGAATTTGGCCAGGCTAAGTATTGAATCAAACATTGCTAGAACAATTAATTTTCATGCTGTGATTCAACATTTGTTCCCCAAACAAAGGCCAGGAAAGCTCTTTTTTTGTAAAGTAAATACCAAGCCTATCTACCTTTCTTTTACTTTTTACTAATAATTATGTCTTCTGATCTGCATTGCAATATAAAAGGATGTTTCAATGTGCTTTCTTCTCTCTGATCCTCTTTTATTTATATTTATCATGGAGGGAGTATAGGAGCATAAAGCCTCTAATGCAGAAAATCAACAGAGTGCTCCATTCCACCCCTCTCTCATCTTGCATACCCTTTTTGGCCTTACAGCTCATGGTATAAAACTGTAGTGGATAAAAACAGGATGATTAATGGGAAGGGGGCCCAAAAGAAACTTTGTACTTCCTGATAAAATTCCTTTCAGAGGCCCTGCTCTATTCTTTTTATAGTTTGATATTTTAAGTGAGGTCTTTCTACTTGCACTATTAAGAGCTTTTGTGCTGCCTTGCTGGATATTTTTTTTCTTTTCTCTCTCTCTCTCTCACCTTTTGAAACTTATTTTGCTTCTTTAGCCTACAGAACCATATATCTTGCTCACCTCCTCTAACTGGATCATTGTATTGGTTCTTCATTCATACATAAAGCAGCATACCAAAGCCTACATTGGTTACTGGAAATTTCTTGATTTTTTTTATTAAGGCCTTCTTTCTTGTAGCTGGTTGTTGTTACTCTGACTTATATGCCACTGACACTTCTGGGATGCTTTGCTGGAGATAGTCTATGCTTTGTAGTAGACTGCTCTTTTTGAGAGCTTGGTTAAACAATTATGTAGAGAGAAATATTTAAGAAATTATTCCACATGTTTGTTTTT